CCTGGGCGCTGTCCCTCAGCTCTTCAGCTCAAGGCGAGCGCTCTACCACTTGAGCCACAGCGCCACTTCCGGCTTTTTTCTTTTTGCTTATGTGGCGCTGAGGAATCGAACCCAGGGCCTTAGGCATGCAAGGCAAGCGCTCTACCACTGAGCCACTTTCCCAGCCCTATGATACATATTATTAAGCAAAATAGAAGCAGTTAAAAAAAAAAGATGTGTATCAAGAAGCCCAAGCGCTGTTCCTTCTAATCTGACCTCTTGTGTATATTCTTCCAGAAGTTGGGTTTTTTTATTTGTTTGTTTTTTTGGTCTGTTGTGAGGCTTGAACTCTGGGCCTGGGTGCTGTCTCTCAGCCCTTCAGCTCAAGGCTAACGCTCTACCACTTGAGCTGCAGCGCCACTTCTGGTTTTCTGGTGGTTAATTGGAGCGAAGAATCTCATGGACATTACTGCCTAGGCTGGCTTTGAACTGGGATCCTCAGATCTCAGCCTCCATAGTAGCTAGGATTATAGATATGAAAAGATGCTGTGACATAACTGCCCCCCCCCAAATCATGTTAGTGCCACAGACTATCATAATGTTCCAAATCCTCCAGGTTCACAAAATACTCTGGATATCAAACACAGACTTTGCCTTGGGCATTTACATGTAAAATCTACCTATTTGAGGTGATTTTTATTTTTTAGCCTACATTAATTGTCCAAAGGGATATCACTCTGATGTGTCCATAAAATGCATAGTGTAACTTGATCAAACTCACTCCATTTCCTGCTCTACCTCATCCCTTCCCCTCTTCCCAAACTAGTCTCAGCAAGCTTTTGTTATTCCAATTTCATACATGTACATTATGTAATTTACCTTCTTCATTGTGTCCTTCACTAGTACCCATACCCAAACAAGACCAGACATATTTCACGTCTCTCGTATAAATTTTTGTCATGTGCATGTTGTTCAATGAGGCTTCACCATGGTATTTCATATTTCATACATGCATATACTGTACTTTAATCAGATTGATTATTTATCATCTTTATGTCTGTGTGTGTGTGTGTGTGTGTGTGTACACACATATATCACAAGTTCTTGATCTATTCATCAGTTGTAGTTTATCTTGGCTGTTTCCATATCTTGGGTATTGTCAGTAGTGCTGCAATAAACACGGGTGTGTAAGCACTTTTATTGTATCCTTTGTCTAACTGATACTTCTGGATCATGTAGTAGTTCTACTTTTGTTTTGTTTTGTTTTTTTCTTTTTTGCCAGACTTGGGGCGTGAACTGAGGGTGTGGGCACTGTCCTTGAGTCTCATTTGTGCTCAAGGGTAGTGCTCTACCACTTGAGCCGTAGCACCACTTCTGGCTTTCTTTAAAAAAGTATTTTTTTTTGTGTCTATGTGGTACTAAGGAATGGAACCCAGGGACTCATGCGTGCTAGGCAAGCACTCTACCACTAAGCCACATTCCTACCCCCTATTTTTAGTTTTTTGAGATGTCTCCATACTTATTTTCATATTGTTTGCACTAGTTTGTATTCTAAGGTGGTTGTTTGAAAATGAGATCATACTGTAGAATATTGCAATGATGAGGATGGGTAGGTTTCAGATGTATCATCTTAACGAATTTTCAATTTTATGATAGTAAGAGTGTGATATATATTCAATAGAAATGACTCCTCCCAATAGAAAACATTTTAGGATTCAAATAATACCTGGTCTTTTAATATAAAACTAGTATAGATTTTAGTTTTAGGATATATATAAGTAATACTTCTTACTACTTGGGTGACCTTGTCTAAGTTCTGTTACTTGTTTCGTCATATTGGAAAAGTTACTTCTGAAAATGATGCAAGTGAAATTTTTTAAATGTGTGACACAGAGAAGGCAGTTTGGCAGCTGCTATTGTTTTTTTGTTTGTTTATTTGTTTTTTGTTGGTTGTGGGGGTTGAACTCTGGGCTTGGGTGCTGTCCCTGCACTCTTCAGCTCAAGGCAAGCACTCTACTGCTTGAACCCCAGCACTACTTCTGGTTTTCTAATGGTTTGTTAGAGAGGAGTCTCACAGAGGCTCCTGCCCCCACAGGCTTTGAACTGTGATCCTGAGATCTCAGCCTCCTGAGTAGCTAGGATTACTTACAGGCATGAGCCACCCACCAGCGCCCAGCTCTGGCAGCTGCTATTGTTGAGCTCAATATTTATATTGTGTATATGTTAACCAGAAAGGAAAGCAAGGAAATTTTGTAGGATACTTAAATAGATAATAAACTTTATTTTAAAAATACACATATAGAGGGCTGGGAAGGTGGCTCAGTGGTAGAGCACTTGCCTCACATGCATGAGGCACTGGGTTCTGATTCCTCAGCACCACATAAGCAGAAAAAGCCAAAAGTGGCACTTTGGCTCAAGTGGTAGAGCACTAGCCTTGAGCTGAAGAGCCGAGGAACAGTGCCCCGGCCCAGAGTTCAGGCCCCACTACCAACAAAAAACAAAACAAAAACAAAAAAACCCACATATAAGATGTTTTATTAATACTCCTCAGAAAGTTCACTATTTTGTTAAATATTGTTTAAGTTTTGTTATTGATAAGCTTTTGCTACAAACAAAACTTTTATTTTGGTCATTTTCAATTTTACCGTATTTGAATTGTGTTGTTTTGTACATCTTATAGGTCCTGACTTTGTTGTTTGTGATGAAGGCCATATTCTTAAAAACGAAGCATCTGCTGTTTCCAAAGCTATGAATTCTATACGATCAAGGAGAAGGATTATTTTAACAGGAACTCCTCTTCAAAATAACCTGATTGAGTGTGAGTTAATACATTGACTATTGACTGTTGCAGCTGTTGTGTCAGATATGTTTTTGCAGCTTTTGCCATCTGTCTTTCATGTGTTTAGCATAGTCCATGACCATGATCTGTGTTGGTCCCTCTAGGTTACTGTGAAAGAGCATCATACTTTCAAGTGAGGTACTTTATAATATGAGCAATAAACTAAAGTGAAGATATGTGCCATTATGATTGTTCAGATATAAATAAGGAAATTGAAAGAGTTAACAAGTATTAAAAAGTCTCAATGAATGCTTATAATTACTTAGTAGATATTGTAAGGATATAGAGTAGTTTATGGAGCTGTAACCATTAAGAAATACAAAAGAAATGTCAAACATGAACATTGCAGAAAGCTGGAGAAGGTAGGAGCACTGTGCCACATCCATGGAAGAATGGCTGAGAACAGATTAAATGCCTCCGGGAAGTGACTTAGTTATTTCCCTTGTTTTCCTGTGGGTGGTGAAGCTAAGAACTACAGGGATATTGGTTATCACATAACAAATGGAATTTCCCAGTGTAATCTGCCACTTTTAAAAATGCTTTTTTATTTATGTGTTCATTTGCCTTTTTTCTGTTCTGTTATCCTTTCACAGAAATGCCATTTCAAATTGTGATGCTAATTAGCATAGGACAATGATAACACTCAAGGCTTCTGAAACTAAGTTAATAGAAATTTTGGTTTGGTAGTTTATTATCTGTTTGCATTTTTCTATTCGGTATGTTTTCTTCACAAGATACTCTCACTGTCCATAAAAAAATCATGGCTACATTTATAGACAACTGGCTTTTCTATGTCACATATCTTGATTAGTGATTTAGAATAAAATGTCCTTAAATGTTTTTAAAAATAATATTCTTGTTTAAGGATGAATTTTATTTTAAATTCTTATGTGTGATTTAAGTAATTCAGAGCTGGATAGGACTTAAAAGCAGTGTTTACACTTAGCTTGGTATTTCAAGTCTTTAATTATCTTTAACATCATTAATGTTTTTAATAAATTAATGTCTTGTTTTTAGATCATTGCATGGTTAACTTTATCAAGGAAAATTTGCTTGGATCCATTAAGGAGTTCAGGAACAGATTCATAAATCCAATCCAAAATGGTCAGTGTGCAGATTCTACCATGGTAGACGTCAGAGTGATGAAAAAACGTGCTCATATTCTCTATGAGATGTTAGCTGGCTGTGTTCAGGTATGGACAAAGTCCCAAAATATCCAATATTCTTATTTATGTTGGATTCTCAAAATATTTCTTTGAATTTAAACCTTATAATTATTTTTGTTCTCTTCTTCTACTTTTTTAGTCTATACTGTTGCATTGTCTTCACAAATGTATTTAGCATTCTAGTGTCTTAAAAAATTATAGTGAGGGGGCTGGGAATGTGGTTTATTGATAGAGTGCTTGCCTACCATACATACAGCCCTACATTTGATTCCTCAATACCACATAAACAGAAAAAACCTGTAAACAGAAAAAAGCTGCAAGTGGTGCTGTGGCTCAAGTGATAGATTGCTAGCCTGCCCAGGCCGAGTTCAAACCCCAGGACTGGCAAAACAACAACAACAACAACAAGAGAATTACTTCTCTTTAGACACTAGACATTGATGACAGCTACACAGATGTTTTATACTTAGGCTGTGCTTTTGGATGGTGCTACTGCTGTCCTTCATGACAAAGCCACCCTTTTTGGTCTGTGCTAGCAAGTACTTGGTGTCTTTCTTTTTGCTGGTATTAGGGTTTGAACTCAGGGGCCTGAGTTAACTTGGCTTGATTGCCCAACCACTTGAGCTGTGCCTCCAGTCTGGCTTTTTGCTGTTTAAATGGAGATGGAGTCTCTTAGACTTTGTTGTATGGGCAGATTTCAAATTGTGAACCTCTAGATCTCAGTGTTGTGAGTGGCTAGGTTTATAGGTGTGAGCCACCATTGCCAAATATTTTTTAGGGGAAGGATACCAGGCATTCTACAACTCTAGCCATTCCCTCTTTTCTACCCTCCACTTCCCCCTCCTCCTGAGCCCTTGGTGTTTATATTTCACTGCTATCAATAGCCCAGACAATATTTTCCTATGTTTAAATATTCTTTGTGCCTTAGTGCATTGTATTCTTTTGTTTTCTATCCCTATAATTAAATGGTTTAAGGAGTATTGTACATGGCTTGTATTCTTGGATGGCTAAATACCCTTCTGTGTGTTATTGTTTGGCATATTGCTACATCATACTCAGAGGTGACTACTTGAACTTCATTAAGGTTTTTTTGTGGGGAGGATAGTATTTGAGACCTGGTCTCCCTGTGTAGGTCAGGCAGGCCTTGAACTCTTACTCCCCTGCCTTAGCCTTCCAAGTGGCAGGATTAAAAGCATATGTCATGCCAGGTGCCAGTGGCTCATGCCTGTAATCCTAGCTTCTCAGGCGGCTGAGATCTGAGAATTGCAGTTCAAAGCCAGCCAAGGAAGAAAAGTCCTGGGAGACTCCAATTAACCAGAAAACTGGAAGTGGCATTTTGGCTCAAAGTGGTAGAGTATAGCAAAAAAGCTCAAGGACAGCACCTGGGCCCTGAGTTCAAGTCCATGACCAATGACAAAATAAAAAAGCACGTGCCGGCTGTATTAGGCTTTCAATTCATAGGTTTTGCTATACGAGTAAACCTTCAATTTTTCTAGCACCACCTGTTGAATTCTCTTTAGTGATTTTCTTTTTCTTCCTGAGAAAGACCATCTTGAGAGTTTGAATTTTGTCATATGGCCACTTTAAAATCTGTTTGATATGCTTCATTATCTTCTATCGGTGTATCATATTGTGCTGTCAGATAAAGTACATTAAATTGAGTGTGATGGCACATACCTGTAGTCCTGGACCTTGGGGGGCAGAGGCAGAAAAATTTCAAGTTCAAGGCTGTATGGCTATCATTTGAGACACTGCCTCAAACAACAAACTGAAATGCATGAAGCGTATTCATATGTGAATGATTGTGTGATTTATTTTTTTTTTGGGTCCGGTCGTGGGTCCTGAACTCTGGGCCTGGGTGCTGTCCCTCAGCTCTTCAGCTTAAGGCTAGCGCTCTACCACTTGAGCCACAGCGCCACTTCCGGCTTTTTTCTT